ATCTACCATCATCGTCAACAACAATGTGTCTTTTACAAAGAATGCTACTCTTGTTTTTCATATATACAGTTTATATACTTGGTCCACTATTACCTTAAATGCAAGGACAGTACCAATTTTATGTTCATGACAGTGATTTATTTATTCACTCTATTCAATAAGAATTCTATTGTAGTTTAATTATGCCTCCAATCAAATTAAAAAAAGAGGCTGTTCTACGAATTAAATTAACCTCAGGTTTTCAGACATGTCACTAATCTCAGTTGTTGGATCAATTCAAATATCTTGGCTTATGGCTTGATTCTCTACTGTCATTTAACGCAGATGTACCAACAATCTCAAGTTTAATATAGCGTAAAATTACTTTCACAATCAATAAATTGTTTTTATCTTTTAGTTAGGAGAAGGATGATTTCGTCATTGATTCTTCAATTCAATGAAGTTAAAATCTTCATCCTGTGCCTATCCTGTCCACCACTGCCTGATGTATGAGCAAGTTATCATGGCTCACACTGTCATCCAGACTGTACCGTATAAGTATTTCCTTATTACCTATTGTTATTAAACCCTACTCATACCTGTAATAACAATCTGTAATCTAAAGTGTTACCACTGACGGTTGTTTATTGTATGTATTTTCCTCAGTTTCCTTGATTATCTAAAACAATATTATGTCAATTCTTCGATCATCTCTGCCAATAATAATCCTGCCTTGAGCTGGTTGAACTGAATTTGGGGATATTACAATGTAGCTCTCTCACTCCTCATTGTCCTTGACCCACTTTCTTTTGCGTGTCGTAGCTGACATGTATTGCATATTTTATTATATATTATAGTGTTGTCTCCTGAAGGGCACATGACGCATTAAAGGTTATTGCACTCACTGACATAAATTATAATTTTGTTAAGATGATAAAGTATCAAGGCATCGCCAAAGGTGGACGATTGAATATCTGCATCTAGAGCACAAAGAGAGAGGAAAAAGTATAGCTACAACATTAACCTCAAATTTTCCTACGGATGAGGTTGAAAATCTGTGAAATGAGCAATTGACAAGCCTGACCTGGTTTTGTGTTTGGTTCAGTGGAGCATCGCTGTCCCTGTCTCACCCCCTTCATTCTCGCACTACATGATTGATAGGCTTCCTGCTGCCTCCATACTCAGCTCTGTGGCACGGCAAACGTTTTACTTTCTAATCCCATATCTTAATTTCATTGTAAGTCTAAACGAAGACTTATTCTGAATATCTCGTTGACACTTTTACCACATTAGATATGTTTTTCTCCATTCAGAGTGCTCTTGTAGGATTTTCTTTTTTTTGATGCCTGAAATAGCCTGTTGTCCTCGTCCTAGAAGGGCTGTGTAGTTGCGTGTTAATCGTGTCAGTGATAGAGCTAATCCAACCCTTCCCCCTGGTGTCTTGGGCCAAAAGGAATACCGCTTGAACGCTTTGCCCACACTGTGTATGTGCTAGCAACAAACCTCTTGCACAGCACTGCTCCCTTGCCCATGTGTTTTGGTTTTTAAATTGCATTCATATAGCATGGATTGTGCTACTGCGTATTTATTATTTTTTTAATAATTCAACACTCCCCTTGTAAGATTCCCACAAGTATGCAGATGATACAATGTGGGAAACTTAAAGTCTTGTTTTAAATGTGCTGTAGTTGGGTCAAGTGCAACACTAGCCTGCATAATTATTTGCATTTGTTATGGCTATCAAATGGAAAAAAATACATTCCTACTGTGACCATGTGTATTACAAGTCCTCCGGTAGAAGGAAGAGAAACAAAGTGCAGAGATGTAGTGGGGAGAGTGACAGAGTATTAAATCCTCTTTCGTTGCCGAGTCTAATCTCTCTGTGGGTTCAGCCTGCTGCTTTTGAACATATACTGTACGGTAGAGCCGCACTCAGCTTGGAGACAACCAGTCCCACTCAGTGTTCAATGTATAGATAACTAAGCATTGTTAGTACTTCTTCTCCAAAAGTCTTGCCCCAATGGAAAGAAAACATAATTTTATTCACTTTTTCTTCACACATCATCAAATTGAAGATGTGTTAGTGTGGTGATAAGTGCAAAGACTGGTGTTTAGACACATGCGAGCCGGCACATGATTCAAAGAGATGAGCAATCAGGGCCTGATCAATGCAGCACCAGTGAGATGTGAAGAAGCTGTGAGAGAAACATGCTGGCGTCATTGACGTGTGCGACTGTGCTCTGCATTCTGCTGCTCGAGCTTTGGAAATGTGCAATGACAGCTTTCAAATTGGCATGTGATTCACAAGGACATTAGGCAGTTGCTATTGACTACCGACCAGTTTAGGAGCTTACACTCAAAGGGTTGACATGGCCAATCTGCCACTCTCCAACATCAGTAGCAGTTTAATTTGTTAACCATGCAAGCAGGGGAAAGACGGCTTCTCTCTCTCTCTGAGATCCTGGGAAGAAACACGACCTCTGCAGGATCAGGAGTAGTGGACAACAATCTATGTAGCGCTACATTCACATCAACGTTTGCAAAAGATCTTGGTACTCAAGTCAAAAGCATCACCCATCACCTGCTGTGTGGGCAGTACTTAAGTTTATCCTAAACATTTGAGCGTTTTGATAAAAGATTCTTCTTGACTATTATAACCAACCACAAACGCTGTGAAGCATCCAATTTCTAACTTCCCAAGAGAAAAGAGCCTGAATACAAACAACACAAAAGAAATGTGAAATGGTATTCCTCAGGTATTAAATAGAATCAAACAATCTATAACTCTACATCTCGAGTAGAAGGAAGACACTGCAGTGAGATCCGTGGGTCCAAGGTTGTTGCGATCTCTGGACTGTGGTCATGTGACTTCACACTCATAAGTGACATTTGTAAAGCTCCCGTAGGAGACGGCCTCCAGGACCAGACTCATGATGTACATATGCTGCACAAAAATTGATTTTTACCTCAAAGTTGTCTTTCATAGTGTAAAGAAATGAAGACAAGGCAGCAGCGATTGCATCTGTACCACAGTTTATTTTGAGTCCCTTCAAATCGAAGTAAGGAGACAAGGCTTTTTATATGATTTGTAACGATACTATACAATTTATTCTTGTATAGCCCTAAATCACAACAGAAGTCATCTCAGAGGACTTAACAAAACCATTGAAATCACCAACACAGAACAGTTAAGACACAAAAAGAATATAGAACACATGTTGATTAATGTCCATGTTGCAAAATGTTTAAAGTGTCTGGATCATCACCACAGTCCTTTTTGTTGGACACTAACTGTCCAACAGACCCTCCTGCATCGGCAAGGAAAAACTCAATGTGGTCATAACAGAGACGTCATCAAAAATATGTCCTCACTTGAGATACGTATAAAGGACTCATGCTTGAGATATACATACAGTATTAAATATATGGGCCAGAAAAAAATATGTTAAGTTCTTCAGATAATAATGTTTATCAGTAATATAGGTATGCCAGGGTTTCAAAGTACAAAATATGCTGGTCAGATATCACACTTCCCTATAGTCCAATCAACATTTGTATCATATGTCATGTAAGAAGTAATAAAAAAGTATGTGTTGTATGTGTGTTGTATTTTCCAAACACACACAGGACCCATTTGATCCCATGCAAACACAAACACATTATTATGGAGACATGACACATTATTCATCATTGTGCCCTGTATATTTTATTAAGAAAACAAATAGTTTTCTTCTTTTGTAAGTATGTAATAAAAACACAAAAAAGATATGTGGCGAAGAAATCTGTAAACATATAGGACACAATGATCAGCTGGTTTCAAATGATGACGATGCACAAAGTGAATGACAAACAAAGACTGAATGCCCTTATAGAGCATGGCTTTATGTTCTCTCCCATTCCCTTTGCACATTCAATTATTAACAACACTGTCAGCTGTGGCAGGATGTGGGTGGAGCGAGCCTGGAGGGCGGGGTTGGATATTTTATACAAACTCTCCATCCGTGTCACTTCGACCTTGTGCTCTCAGCTGAGTGATAATGCGACAAGCAAGGTAAACATGGTATAGAATGTTTACCTTGCCCTAGGTATGATTTCAACATCACTAGATTAATCATAATCTCCAAAGCCAAAGAGTAAATGTGATGCGGAGTATAAAAGTGACAGTTGGTTGTGCATGAATTGATAAAGCATTGATAAAATCTCTCTGAATATTGCCATAGATTAAATTAGATACAATTACTCACACAATATGTAGATAAACGAGACATTGCTCATCCCGGTTCATTGTTCAGCTTACGTTTTGTGTTGGCAGGAGCAGACTAGGGTCAGAGAAGCAAAGGTAAAAACAGAGTAATCGCATCAGACTGAGTGGGCTGTCACCTTTGTTCCCGCCTGTAGCAACAGCATGTAGCCCCCACAGACTCTCATCCACATTCATTTTTCATGAGCCTGTCTACAGAATATGCTGTGAAAATAGCTTCGCCACATGTGTGAAACAAAATAGTTTTCAGGATATGTTCTTCAATTGCAGGCTTTATACAGTAAGTTAAAAAAACAACTAATAAGTAATTTCTTACACATTTATAATTATTTTCTAATTACTAGTTACTGCTTTTGGACTTTTTTGTTGTAATATACCCTCAATTAATCTTGAGGGTATCTTCATTTTTTACTAAAGATGTTTAAAGCTGTAAATAACATATATATATATATATATATATATATATATATATATATATATATACAACACTGAATGTGTTATATAAACTGGCTGAAGTTTACATTGGAGACAACAATAAGTTATACCACTGCTCCTGATAAACATTTGGGGGCTGGAATTAACAACTTTTTTACTAATTCATTAGGTGATTGATTATTCTCTCGATTAATCGATTAGTTGTTTCGAGCCAAAAGGTGGTGTGAAGTGAAAAGTCATGTCTGTAATAGCACTAACATCATCAATGAGTCATTAACTCGGTAAAAATCTTCAGTCTTTGCCTAATTGTTGGTTTTCTTTGCAGATTTTTGTGCTTGAGGTCCAATCTCCAAAGTTGCCATGGCGGATGAAGCGGACATGCGCAATGAGCTGGCCGACCTGCAGACCCGTGCAGACCAAGTAGCTGATGAGGTATAAGAAATCCCACAAGATGAATCATAATGAATCAATAGTAGAACTAAGTATTTATCTTTGAACCCTTTTGGACATAGTTGTTTGTTACAAAACTGGTAAAACATTTTCTGTAATTTTCTGCTTTTATCCACATTGTAATTAATTTGAATGTTTTTAAAATGTTTGACAGAGTTATTAGATTAAAGTAGTTGATCTTGTAGCAATTTTTTTTTTTTTACTTTTAGACATATTATCCATATTTTCTTTAAAGTAGAATTCTTTGCCACTTTTGGATAATTATTATACAGTACATATTTTTAACAATACAATATTGAGAGTTGTGATTTTGTCACTTCCAACTTCCAGACACATAAACCTCTTCAACCCCAGGCACTCCTATCAGACAAAAATACAGCACAGAAACAGCCAACTGCTTTTTGTTGGAACAGATCAAAGGTTCACTGGATAAAGGGAATGTCGTAGGCGCTGTGTTTTTAGATCTGAAGAAGGCCTTCGACACAGTGGACCATTGCATCTTATTGCAGAAATTACAGCAATTTCAATTTTCAGCTACAGCTCTGTCATGGTTTGAGTCCTACCTGGAGGGTAGAGAACAATGTGTGAAAGTAGGAAGCGTTAAATCCACCCTGAGTCCAAATGACTTAGGAGTGCCTCAAGGGTCAGTCCTAGGACCGTTGCTGTTTTCAATGTATATAAATGATCTCCCAGATTGCTGTCAGGGTGTAAACTGCCAGCTTTATGCTGACGACACAGTTATTCATGTGTCAGCAAAAACATCTGCACTGGCTGGGCAGCTGTTAACACAGGCTTCACATAACATCTCAAGATGGCTTCAACTGTCCCATTTAACTTTAAATGTAAAGAAAACATTCTCAATATGTTTCTCTATCAGCCGGAGGTCCCCTGACAGCACCTTTGAGGTTCAATTAGAACATGAACCCATTCAGGAGGTTCATGAAACAAAATACTTGGGCATTATCTTAGATAAACACCTGAAGTTCCAAAGTCAAGCAAATAACGTCTGCAGGAAAGTCAAATCAAATCTGAACTGTTTTCGTTTTATAAGAAGAGAGTTATCACATCACGCGGCTTTATTGTATATGCATGCAATGGTTTTTTCACATCTGTCATACTGCATTACAGCATGGTCACAAACATCGGCATCCACTCTGAAACCAGTCACCTCTCTGTATAAACAGGCAATTAAGATATTCGACAAGAAACCTTTGAGATGGCATCATTGTGATATCATACAAAAGCACAAGCTTTTTACTTTTGAAAACTTTGTACATTTTAGTATAATGAAATTGACTTTTAAATGTCTGAACAACTGTGTGTCACCACTGTTCTCTGGCCTCATGGTGAGGTGTCAGGGCTCTCTCAGACCTTCCACCAGAGCCTCAGTTAGCGGGGATTGTGTGCTCCCAAAGTTTAGAAAATCTTTTGGACAGTCGAGCTTCTCCTTTAGAGGGGCTACACTGTGGAACTCTCTCCCCACTGCACTGAAACTGCAGAATAATATCAACATCTTTACCAGAGAGCTTAAACAGTGGCTCAAATCGGGCCAAACTTGTTCCCATGTTTAAAACATGTCTTATCTTGTTTAATAATGTGTTTTATTGTAACCTTGTTTCCTAATGTGTTTTATCTTTGTAACCTAAAAGCCCCCTATGGACAGGTGTTGAAAATTAGCACTTGTGCTATAACACTTTAAACAATGCATCTGGTTCGTCCAATGTTAATTGCTATGTCCATATTAAATAAATAAATGAATGAAAAAAATGAATGAAAAAATCAATACGTCAACAGATTCTTAAAATGAACTTGAAATTTACGTTAATCATGTTTTTGGTAGAGGGCACTCATGGACTATGCTTATGAGCAAAAAAGGAGGTATTTCTGAGCACAGGAATAATAGAGCAGCTCAAATGGCATTATTAAACATTCATGAGTAGATAATGCAAAGCCAAAGAGCTGTGTGAATGTGATGGAAGCAGAGGGGGATGGAGAGCAGAAAGAGGTTCAGACGAAGAACTAGACCTCATCAGGATGTGTTAGATATTAATATGTTTAAATCCACAAAATGAGAAGTATGGTGATCGAAACACACATAAAAATACGTAAAAATCAAGCTGAATTATTGTTTTTTTCCTCTTCTCTACAGTCTCTGGAAAGCACTCGGCGTATGCTAGCATTGGTTGAGGAGGTAAGTACCTGTTTCCATGGCACAGAATTATAGGAGTGTATAACATATGTTGCATATGTTTTACACTCAATGCTGTCACAATAATAAAGCAAGGTAACTGTAAGGAAAAAAAACATGTCCTCCCATGAACCTTTCAACATGCTGTCACATATAATTCATGGCGTGCTGGATAATCGGAAGAGTTGGTATATGCAGTAGTTTAAATAAAACTTGGTTATAGCAGCATTGTGCGGTCCAGCTGATTTAGCTAGCTGCTCAATAAAGTTTTATCTCATCTTATCAAGACTTGACTGGGGTTTACCTACCAGGAGGTCAATTTCCCTAAAATAAAGCCATTCCATACAATTGTGTGGTTTAATACAAAACCTATTTATGTTCCAAATAGGTCTTGACATAAATCCACTCTGAAAACTGCGATAAGACATAATAACTGCACAAACTCTCCATCTAATTAGACAGAGCTTGGGCTGTTCTGTTCTGTAAAAGAAATGTTGGATGGTGACTTCATATTTTATATATATTTTTTCAACCTATACAGTGTAAACCTGTGTTTTAGGTCAAACTGAAAATGTAATGTTCTACTATCTAGCATCACACCAGACGCCAAGACATCACTTGGTAACAATAGTTCTGTGGGTTTGCCTTGCTGTGGTGGATTTAATACAAGAATTGTATTATCTCAAACAAGCAGCATGAGTTGAGCGGTATGAACTGTCTCCAGCAGCAGCCTCCACAGTACCACACTCAGACTCGACCTTACACCTGCAGGGGCTGAAGAAGCAACCTTTAAGGAAAATGCCAAGGATGAGCCTTTTGTTGTCTGCAGTGTGTAAATGCCAGCGTACCACTGTTGTGTAATTCAACCCATGTCGATTTTAAACTATTATTACAAATTTCCAAATGATACAAAAGTTGCCTCTGATAAAGTCAAACGTGACCCTTCAGTGCACTTAAAACACACGTGGCCTCTCTGGCTGACCCTTGCCCCTTTAAAAAGGCTTAGAGTGAAGATTACTGTTCTAATTGAATAAGTAGAAAGCTTATTTGAACGACAGTGGTGATAGTGATAACCCTGATCATATGCCTCACTTTCTGCTTGTTACTGATAGATATTTCTTGATGATACGATGTTTGCAGTGTTTTGCAGTGGTGTGATATTGCTTTCATTTAAAAGAGCTGTATGTGATTTTACAAGTGATGATAAAAACTCACTCAAGTTTTTCAAAACTTAACACAACTTTCAGAAGTCCAAGTGAAGTTTGTGTAAAGCTAATTAAACTGGACTGCTAAAAATCATGCTTCGTCATTTCCAGAAGTAAAACAATTCTATTTTAATCCAACGTTGCATCGTTTCAGTGAGGATGTATTACACATGTGTGTTACACATGTGTATTACACATGTGTGTTACACATGTGTATTACACATGTGTAACACACATGTAGTACAGTTCTGTGATTGAACAATGTAATTAAATATCTTACAACATAAAGAACCAAATAAAATGCTTATATTCAGTATTTTGTATATTTACTAAGAACTGTTCAGAATTAATTTAACAAATAAGTGTTTTTCAGTGGCTCATATTCTGGGGTCAAAGCAGAGAGCTGTGGTGTTCCATACCTAGAAAATCCTCCTTCTTTAAGTAAGAGATATTTTAGTAAAAAAGATAATAATAAGAAATACCGATAATAATATAAGGACCAAAAATTCTGTTTCAAAAAGCTAAAAAATGCATTTCTATTTAACCTGCCCTCAGCCCCACATGCAGAAACCTGCTTTGTCTCGAGCCATGCAGCTGTGGAATTCTCCGCCTTTAGATGTCCTTAATATAAAGAAATTAATCAGTTTAAATAGGCCACTGAAACAACATTTTATGAATTATTGGCATAGTAAAACTTTTGTATTCTATTCTTATCATTATTTGTTTAATGTAAACTGTGTTGTCATTAATTTGAATCATGTATTGTGTGGACCCCAAGCAATAATTTTGCAGATTTATTGAAGCTAAAAGTAGATCTAATAAATAATTCAAAATACAAAATGAACTAAATACCGCTAACTGAATATATCTTCCCCCGCCCCCAAGACTGGGAGATGATTACACAGTAATTGAACATACCATGATTTCTATCATGCCTAAAGACTGATCCCGCCAGTCTCATTAGAAATGCATAGAGGGCAACATCTTTGCTGATGCAGGTTTTTATAGCATGATTGTCCCCATGCAAGAGGGTTAGTGGGCAAACTGTACGTACTTGTGCTGAGTGATGTAACATGACCTTGTCTCATGCAAATGTAGCCCATAATTCTTTTAGTACCATGGCGAGCCCTGACCTTTTGTGAGAGCGGGAAATGCTTGAGTGCTTCTGCTGCTAACACTGAGCCATGTCTAAAAGTTGTTTTTTTGCTACATCATTCTCTGTGATTAAATGAAGGAGGGAGAACTGTTAGGAAACGAGCTTGTGAAAGTGATAGCGAAGATAGAGATTTTTGTTGCTCAAATATCTGCCCAAAATTATACCCATAAAAAAAGAAATGTCCAAGCATAAAATGAATATGAATAATGTGCAAGCAGTGACAAATGAATAAAAATAATGTATCGATGCATTTATATTCATTACCGTTCAAAAGTTTGGGGTCACGCCAAGTGTTTTCCATGAAAAGTCACACTTATTCACCACCATACATTGTGAAATGAATAGAAAATAGAGTCAAGACATTGACAAGGTTAGAAATAATGATTTGTATTTGAAATAAGATTTGTTTTACATCCAACTTTGCTTTTGTCAAAGAATCCTCCATTTGCAGCAATTACAACATTGCAGCTAGAATAGTAATTTACCACATAAGCAATGTATAGAGTGTATTTCTTTACAGTTAAGACTAATTTAAAGTTACCTACAGTGCTTTTCTTTCAAAAATAAGGACATTTCAATGTGACCCCAAATTTTTGAACGGTAGTGTATATACTTTTTGTTTTAACATCAGGGAGGTGTGAAACATGTGACTCACAACAGTGCATGCCCATGACCCAATTAGGATATATTCCAGGAGACAGGCTGGTGGTTTCTGAAGAGAAGAATCAATAGCAAGAAAGCAAGAGCTTTGTCTTATGTCACTGCATGCAGTCTACTGATGTTTCTCAAGGCAACCATATCATTCGATTCAAAGATTATATTATTCACCTACAAAAATCCCTCTTTACCTTTGGTCCAGCTTTGACTCAATCCAACAATTTTGTTCAGAACAATCTAGCAGGAAATATAGTAATTCAAACTAGAGAAAGAATATGAACTAATGTAAAAAATAAAAAATAAAAAAAAGTAATCCTTTGGTTAAAATACCTCCATAATGCATATGCAAAAGATTCTCTAATAACAGCTATTGTCCTTTCGACCTGTGACCAGCTCTCTTACACGTACGTGCATCTCGAAGTAAGACAACATCAAGAGGATGTGAGCCGCTTGCTGTTGACGGATGACGAGTGGGCCCGGCTTGTTGTATCTATTTTTTATTCAATAAAATATCACCTTGCAAATGAAAGCAGGTGCTCTCCCTCATATTTTATTTGTTTGAATTAAAGCCTTTGGAACAACATCCAAAAATATGAAAGATTAAAAATGAAATAAAGTACAATAATATATTCATATTCAGTCAAACAGTGGTGTTTTGGTGGTGGCCTGTGTGTGGTCAGTATTTCAGTATTTCCCAAACAAACACTATATCTTATTTATTGAGTATGATCCTGAGGACAAACCTCTATCCATCATCTCTACAAGAAGGTCAGCGCGCCTTTTTATCTGAAACTGTTCACGCCTGAACGAAAGGGCCTTTGGAATAATATTTCGCGGACCATTGCCGGAGTAGAGTGGTTTATGTTATGTTGCACAATATACAGCGCTTGTTTTAAACTGAATATTTACAATACAATAATATATTGGTTTTAGAAAAACCACATTTTAATCAGTAGATGTGTGCACAACATGTCTGATACTGCATTGAGATCTTGTACTTGTATATCACTCTTTTTCCATTTTTTACACCATTATTTTTATGACATTGTAGCAAATTTCAGGCTCCAATAAACACATTAGTAGATTGTCCAGGAGTCCAGTAACTAAACATGTGAAAGTAATGACATTATTATACACAATATGTCTCATATGAAAGACATAATGAGTGCTCATGTTGTGTAACATTTTGAAATAGGCAGAGATTGAAAATTTTACTAAAGTACACACTTTTTTGAGACAGCACATTTTTTGAGAACTGACAATAATAAAATTTGCTGCTTCAAAAATCTAGCACTTGTTTCCATCAAATACGTTATTTTATTATTCACCTGCCTGCCCACCTTGTCAATCAATCAGTTAATCTTTATATGTAAAGCACATTTAAAACAGCCCAGGCTAACCAGAGTGAAAAATTCCTTAGTCAAAAAAAAGTGTGCGCTTCACAGATGTGGTGAATATAGACCACCACTGGTATAGAGCAAGTAAACTTGGTTTTGCCATATTTACATAATTGTATATATTTGCCATAATGTGTTTGTGATCAATGTATTGTGCATGGCATCACATTTTGAGGGAATCAATAAATCCTCGCTCAACGAGCAAGATTATGTTAATTACTGTTAATTCATAGTTACACTGGTAAATCAAAATTAAATAATTTCTCATTCCATTTACTGCAGTATACAATTGTAGCACTTTTTCTCTGTTCAAAACAGTGAATTACTTGATGTAATTTACCGGTATCTCTTTATCTCTTTTCTATGTTTGTGTCTGGTAGAGCAAAGATGCTGGGATCAGGACTCTGGTCATGTTGGACGAACAGGGAGGTAAGTTGTTTTAGGAAGAGATTTCTAATATCTCTGAGAAGTACCCAAAATCCTGTGAAATAAAGCTTTTATAGTATCAAAAAATCAGATGTTCAATAACATATTAAATCATAATAAGTAGCTTATTAGAGATTATGATAGATGATAGAATAGATGGTCTGCTTTTGGCCTATTCTGAAAAATAAGCAATTACACCCAAAGCTCCCATTCTGCACTCCGTGGTGGTAAACTTCTGCTGAAGCCATAGATGCCATGGGACAGACTGACACAAGCAAGCCAATCTGCTATCAGCCTCCCTTACCACCACTCAAATTCATGCAACAAATGCGTGCTAAGGAAGGTGGGTGGAATGTCTTGCTTACGCACACCGCATATACGCACCATGCTTGGTGGTATTATTGGTCTCCCATCACAGTGCTACACCTCATTGCTTAGCTTCTGAGACAAACAGGTATGTATATGTATTTTAAATTACACTTATAAAACCCTATATTTTACTAGCTTTATGTAAAAGTTGACTACTATTATTTATACACCATAATACATGGATTATTCCTATATGTTTACTCTTCAAAGTAGGACTATGTAGTCTACTCATGGTTATTAGATTTAGTCTATGTTTCTATACATTTCTAAGTGTTAAATGTAGTCTAAATGTATTCAGAACCCTGTATAGATTTAGATGTTCCATATACATTGTTTACAATTGAAACCTCATATAGTTTATGCTGCTTTTGGTAGGTAATCCTGGTGCTCAGTTGCTTGTTCAATAGAACTAATTGTCAGTGGAACTGCCTCTCCTGCTACCCAGAGAAATGCTTCCGACCTGAGCTCCCGACTTTCTCATAGGACTGCATCCATTTGTTAGGTTTCAATTAATTCTGGATGGAGCTTAGTACCATATACCATCCTTCTGACTTCTCCCTCTTTTTCCCCCATGAGAATAGTGGCAGGTTAATTAATAATTAGTTGAATAGAGTTCAATTAGAACATAACATTGAACTCTATTCAACAAATGACAGACAGAACTCTAAACTAACTACTGGGTGCATCGCCAACCATAAGTCACAATACACCAACAATTAAATGGTAAAAAAACAATAAACACCAATAGTTTGGCTAGTAGAGCTTCGCTAAGGTTCTTCCAACACATTTTTGTTTATATTTTTGTGATAATTTTCATGTTTATCCATGTACACAAGAGTGTCACACACTAAGATGAGGTCATTGTCTTCCTTCCCAGTGCTTTGATAACCATCAGGGGAGATAGTCTGTAGTCTCTGGGGGCGAAGGGTAGAGTCTGTTGCTATGGTTGCTCAGGCAGTGCCCAAGCATGACAAAAACAACTTCTACTTTCTTTTTCTCTTACTCAATTCTTTCCGCTTTTCTTATTGTCCTATATGTGCTTAACTATTTATCGCCAGTTGAACCAACTCCAAATTGCAAAATGCAAAGTTGGTGGGAGATTTTTACTTTCTTTTTACCTTATAGTACAGATGTTATACAAAGCTATATATTCAAAGGATCAGATGCTCCTTTTGCACATGATGAAGATTATTACTGGCACTATTTCATGCGATAACCATTAACCTGAGAGAAAGAGCCTTTGACCTTGAATGGGAGCTTTTTATAGACCATATGTGCTGGGTACACAGGGTGACTTTGCAAGTCTACGCTTCATCCCCACTTTGATTTCGATCTTAACCGCCTATCTATAAGAACGCTCCTCTGATATTGTCATGTTATCTGACCAAATGGATACAGTAATACAAATCCAAAAGAGCTACATCAAGTTAAATACCAATTGTATAAAGAACAAAACAAACACGCAAATAGATACTGTGCTCCAACTAGAACGTTTATGCAAAACACATGTTTAATATCCACCTATGGCCTTGCTTTGGCTTCTGCACTCACTGTAGTGTACTTTAGGGCAGATTCCTCCCAGAGAAAGCTAGTCCGATTAATTTCATTTGCTCTCATGGCTTTGTCCTCACCAGAACAACTTGATCGCGTGGAGGAGGGCATGAACAAGGTCAACGCAGACCTGAAGGAGGCCGAGAAAGATTTAAAAGATATAGGACAATGCTGTGGTCTGATATGCCCATGTATTAAAAAGTAGGTACCAGCCAGGAGCCCCACGTTCTTGCCTGTCCAGTGCTGGTGGTGATAGTGATGTCACATGTCTATTTTGTCACAGTCAATGTCTCTTTTTGTCTCTCCTTCTTTGTCCCCTCAAACCCCAAACCCTCCCCATCACCCGAAAAACCCTTTCTTCTCTCCTCTCTCACGTGCTTACGTTCTTTTGCTGGGAAAATGACAATGTGTTGGTAATCAGAACAACTGGAGCGCATCGAGGAGGGAATGGACCAGATCAATAAGGACATGAAGGATGCAGAAAAGAATTTGAACAATCTAGGACAGTTCTGTGGTCTATGTTCATGTCCCTGTAACAAGTAGGTGCAGCCTGTGCGGCCTGACTGCATGTATCTATATTCCTCTTCCTGCATGGTGGCACACAGCATGCACATATGAGAGTCTGAGGCACACAGACAGATGTTGTGTTTGCATTGTTTAACTATACTTTTTATAGGTAAAAAACAATACAAATTAAAAATGTATTATTACAAAGGTGATCTGGCTCAAGGATCAAAACATTCATTCAGAATCATCACATTTCATCACATTTCAAGTGACAAATCTTATTTGAAACTATTAAATGCACTTTGTTGTTCTTCATCAACGTGATGATTTTAAATCTGGATGGTGCACCTTAAATGCAAGCACAGCTCTATCTTTGTGCCACATACTATAACCAGGTAAAGTTTGATGCATGCATCAAGAAAAACATGCCAAATGCTTTATCTTTGGGGATGTGTTCCCTAAAGCCCTTCATTATTCATTGGATTAGACATTCTTTTTCCCACAGGTATAGCAGCATCAGCACAGCCGCAGTCTGACTGAAGCAATGCATTCACCACTGGTCCATGCCCCTGTTCCCCCTGCAGCATGTCCTGTGGGTGCAAAACACATCAAATAGTTTTCTTTTAGAATAATGCACTCATTTACAAAATAATATTATTGTTTTTTTGTGGTTCATTTGAAAGACAAGTTTAGATGTATTACCTTGTTAACATGTTTCGGCTGTTAACAAGGTAATATCTAAACTTGTCTTTCCAAATAACCACACAAAAAAGCATTTTTAACTCAAGAAAAAGTTAACCTTTTTGAATCATTAATAATATTCTAATATTCTGTTTCATGTCCTATTGCTGGGTTTCAGATTACACTGCAATATTCAATTGGCCTATTTATATAATTATAAATGAGACACTAGTGAAATTTCTATTGTTGGTAAACAACATGTTGATACAGAAAACCTGCTAACAAAGCAGGTTTTCTTTTTGGATGTCGTATTTGTTTTAATATAACTAACAGGCTAAGTGTTAAGGAAGGAGTGCCCTCTTTCTAGAATCTGAAATCTATCAATGCAGCATGTTTTAATCAATTCAAATAAAACACTAGGACTTTGACAGGAAATCTCCTATTTCTGTTTTTTTTATTTACCACTTTTCAGAGTTGACAGTATTTGATTACGCTTTCCACCCCAGGATTGTCTGACTTTTGCGAATTTTGCAGTTGAACACATACAATCAGAATATTTGTGCTAAATTAGTATTTTGAACACATATTTAAATCAGACTATATTTAAACATTTCCACTATAATAAAAGAAAAAAGTGTAATACAATACAAGTTATAGAAACTCAAGTGCCCAGTTCTTTCTCACAGCAGAGATACAAGGACACAAGCTCATTTTAGTCTGTTAGACACCTCCTGGCGCTCTGAATTGTTGAATGTCTTATTAGTGCCTCAACAGTGTGTGACTAACAGATCACTTGTACTGTGCACCTGAGCATCTACAGCAGAAACCCGAGTCTGTGGGAGGTTCCAGTCCATGGTTGATCCACTGTAGGGGATGAATACAAATATATCAAATTCATCACCATAACCTGATCAAACTTGCTCTTGCATCCCAGCACTGTTAGGGTTTATGAGCAACCCTTCGGCATAAGTGATATGGTTCATCGCTATATTACGTACAATTTCTTACTTCAAAATCCTTTGAAAAAGCACTCGTATGCCTCTGCCAAGAGGTACAGTTCCATTCCTGGATTCAGAGAACACCTCCTAAATCTAATCATTTGTCCCAATTTTGTAAAACACGTTATGCTAACAGACATACAGGCATATAAACCATGGTAAAAACCTAACTTATTTGGTGGAGGTTATGTCATGTCTCATAGTTTGGTTGGTAACCAAACTATGAGACATGACATAACCACCACTGAGTTATGACTGAGCAAATGTCATTCTGGACACAAGAGGTTTTATATAACAACGTGAGTATGACTCATGAGTAAAATGAGATTCTCTGCAGACTGCCTTTTCTTATGAAGGCACATCTTCATTCTATTCTTAAGCTGTAGTTTTCCTTGTTATGCAATACTGCCGTAATGTCATGCCATCTGATCAAGACTACCCATGACTATTCTTGGTTAATGGAGCACAATAACGGTGATTCTTAAGTATTATAAAATATGTACCTGGTCAACTAAAACACATAAACATCTGTCTGTTTCCTTAGATGGCTAAGAGACCTGTGACATTTGTTCATTCAGCTCTCATCTCAGCAAGAATGTTCAAACACGGGCCTATAAAACATTTCTTCAGTTTTATGCGGCCAGATGAATTGAAGGGCTTAGTGTGACACCTATGCAATGGTTTCATGTTTCTTCTTCACTAAACTTGGCTTTTTTATGCTAATTTTTCTATCCTTTTCTTTGTTGTCCCTCATCCTATATTCAATGTTACATGTTTGCATGGCATGTTCTCTGCACTTGTATGGTAACACCTGTGTTTGTGAATTGTGTGTGTTGGTGATTTTGTTTGGTGTGAAAATGTTTTCTGTTTCTCTTTGCATGTATGCTTGTGGTTAAGACTTTCTCTCACAAGCAACATGCAACTTGTGAATGCTTAAATTGATCTGTTTGTGATCAATTATCTCCTTAGAAAAGCATTGCTTATGCATGAAATTCTCACATACTCTGTCTGCCATGCCAATTGTTTTTGTTGTTGTCATGCTTAGCTTTTGACTGATCATTTACTGTTATATAGTACTGCATACACGTAAAAGCTATGGCTAAATCAAAGCAGATACAAGCATGTACGGAGATGAAAATAGGTTACATTAATATGCACGGATGCGCGCGGACACACACACACACACACACACATAAATATAAACCTATACAGAAAGGAATATGACACACGCACACACACACACACACATTGCAGACACGAAGCACTTCTAATGGTGATTTATATATGACAGGATTAAAGGTGGAGGCCAGGCCTGGGGAGCTAACCAGGATGGAGTAGTGAACAGTCAGCCTGGAGCTCGAGTGATGGACGAGCGAGAGCAGATGGCCATCAGTGGGGGCTTTATTCGCAGGTAAATTCTCTGAATTAGAAGTATTGTTCACAATGCTGTAGAATGAGTAACTGATAGACATTGAATTGCATATTACTAAAGCCTTCAATAGTCTAGACCAGTGCTGTGGGGTCCAGGACCCTCTGGGGGCCTCAGAAGCACTGCAGGCCTCTAGGTATAGGGGGTGAGATCACAACTTTGGGGAGTTTGTGGCACTGATCCTGGAATTTGAAATTTTGAAAGTATTACAGTCTTTATTGCCTTCACAAGTCTAGATTTGTGTTTCTGCCATCAGGGTAACGGATGATGCCAGGGAGAATGAGATGGACGAAAATCTGGAGCAGGTGGGAGGAATTATTGGTAACCTGCGCCACATGGCCTTGGACATGGGTCAGGAGATCGACACCCAGAACCGCCAGCTCGATAGGATCGTGGAGAAGGTATAGTCCTCATATAATGAACTGAAATAGACACAGATCCTTTGTCCGACAGCGGTGCAGATATTATGCACATAATGAGTTTCTTTTTTGTAGTATTAAATTCCTATTTATGTTTTCAGGCTGATTCCAACAAGACTCGCATTGATGAGGCCAACCAGCGTGCAACAAAAATGTTGGGAAGTGGCTAAATGGCTCCAAAAGTGCTTTTATGCCATCACACCCATCTGTCAAACTAAACACCTGTCATCTAAGCCTGATCTTCCCAAACACAAATGGCCAGTGCCCACATTGCCCAACACTACGGGTGGCAAATCATGCTTTTATTGTGATACATGCACATATCTTACAAGTATATCTGTCCCTTGTTCATGCAAATTGTCCCGTGTCACTTCCTTTCAATGTCAATGGTGTTCTTTATTGTCTCTTTTTTGACTCTTTTGTTAATATAGTGAAGGCATTCACTCCTATGTAAATAGAGCTTCTCTAGATGGCTTACCAATTTAGATTGTTTCACCTTTTGAATTTATCTTTTTTTTTATTGTGCATAAGATATCTTATATCAACCCCTGTTCTGAAAAGCCCATATCCAAATGTCAGTATTCAGGTGTGCTTTGTGTAAGACACACTGTATTTTTATTGTTTATATTATTATTCACAGCTTTTGTCTAATGACACTCATTTATTTTGCAGAACATTCCTACAACATAGTAATCACAAGCTAGCTCTCTCACCTGATTGGAAAACAATTACATTCATTACATTCATTACAGATACAATCTACGATATACTCTACACAGTGTTTGAATTGTTTATTATGCATTTTTTTTTTATTACATTTCATCTTTACAATTTTATGTAAAGGTGGAAAACATAAGTTCAGTCCAAAACTTTTCAATGTGTTAAAATAGAAACAAAGTATCAAGATTCAGTTGCAAAAAAATGCTTTTTCTATGTTAATGCATGTCCCACATTGCTGAATGCACCAAATAACATATTGTTGAGACAGGGCAATTGCATGGTAAATATTTAGGCCAGACTTTGGAGGCCTTTGATGACAATAGTGCCACTCATCTGTCTTTGACTTTCCAGCTATTGTGAGATACATGTTTTAACTGCCAATAAACTAGCGATAGAAATTATACACCTCTAACTGTGGTTTCTGTGAAATATACATTAATTGAAATCCAAGAATAAAGAGATTTTTTAAAGCAATGTTTTACATTTTTACTAGATAATCAAAAGGTATCAAGTGGTAATATGAATAATAATTCAGTGTTCATGTTTTATATTGTAAACTTCTATATGCGGGTTTTACAAATATATATTTTTAAATGACTATGTACAATTAATAATGATTGGGATACGGAAACACTGACACTGTAGGGACATAGGCCTACTGGGAGTCCCAGGCTTAGGACGGATTACCGTCCACCACGTGACACTCAGACAAGAACGTGAATCAGCTGATGGGTAATCCTACTTTTGTACAGACCTTAAATATATAGTTGAAAGGATAGTGCATAAAGACAATGGCGCCCCCTAAATAATTATCTTGATTATTAATTGCTCTGATATACCATATTGTTTGATAAATAATTATAGTCTAATCTTTGAGTTACTGTGAATAGATCACAGATACAGTTGCATATCATGTGAGAATTTTGTGTGGGATAGGTTGTGTACAAATTCTGCAGAAATACCTCCTTCCTCTTTCTCCTTATATTTTAATCCCTTATAAGATGTATGAATTCGGATGGATCCACAGTTGAAAATCCTTGTTTAGCCTAGTGTCTTCCGCCAAGTGAAACGCATTCTTGAACGAGGGTTTAAAGAAGGCTTTTTAATGCAATATAAATAGAGACTTAGGAGGATTTTCTACTTCTGGGTGGATTATCAAGACTATTGGTCCTCCCAATTGTCAATCACTCTGGTGATACATGCTGGTCAAATAAGACTTTTGAGGTTTTGTTCAAAAGGTGGAGAGGGTGGTTCTTTCCTAAAATACTCCTGTAAACCTTTAATTAAAGACGAGAAGAAGATGATGTCAAGATTGAGACAAGGACATACAGGGCTTAACGACTTAACGATATGGAAACAAGAGAATGGGAATTGTAACATGTGTAATGCAAGGGCAACTGTGGACCACGTTATTATTCAGTGTTACGGATACAAGTGCTGAAAAAACAGTAGATTGAATACAAGCAACATTTAACATGTTTTCTCACAGGACAAAATTAGACAACAGTTGTTTGGATTTATTAAACTTCTGGTTTGGGAAAATAATGTGCGGTTCGAGCATGAATCTATTATAATAACAATCATATCATGGATATGGTTGTTGCTGACCTCCCTCCCGGAGGGTGGCGGTACTGTGCCTTAAATTGTTTACAAACTGCCATTTATAAATTACAACAAGAAGAAGTTGTGACTTCCGCCTGGTGTGACCGTGTGCTGAACTGAGCTGGACCGGGTACAAACAAAGGCACGGGTCTTCCCTCTCTGTGGACATGTTCCGAGCCGTATCCCGCCTGTGGGCCGCCGGGGCGAAGAGTCTGAGCGCACCACGACAGTGTCATCTCGGTAAAAAGACATTTAATTATAGGTTTCAAATGGGCGTAAAATGCTGAATCCAAAGGTTGTTGGCTCTGTTAGCAAAGCGTATTTTGTGTACGTGAGTCAAGCATAGATCTGTTAGCTCGTGTGAACTGGAGAGAAGAATATAAATATAATTTAATCTTCAATTCACCGAGAATCTTCTATCGCTAGCTCCTGTCAAGGAATGTAAGTGATCCGTGGCTTGCGACCTTGAGGATCTGTTTACCCGCAATTGATATAACGCTACAACCACCAAGGATGAGTAAAATCCAGGTTTACTATGGTAATTCCGTGGAAATTGCTTGACAATTCTACTGTAGATTTGGTGTATACGGGTATATTACTATTTTTGTTATAGCTGTGGAACGTATGAGATGCCATTAAGATATCTTGTTTTCATTTAGCTTAATAAAGAATCCACGTATAACAAGTACACAGATAAAAGCTGTATAAACCTGTATACATAGTTCCCACATGACGTCACTACACACGCGGATTTGCCGACCCGGCGCCATTTGTGTTGGCATTCTGTGGGCAAAACAATAGAAAAAGAAGCTGAAACGTGTTAATGTCGTGATAAAGTTGAAAATGGTCATCTCCTGCTGGGTCAATGGATGTTCAAATCGTGCCGGAGGTTCCGTTAAACTTGGATTTTACAGTATACCCATCATTAGACTTCATGAATGTGAGAAGACTAAGGCCCTGTCCACACGAAGTCAAGCTCAGGCCTAAACGCAAAAATACTTTATCAATCCAGTGTATCGTCCATACGAGGCCGGCGTTTTGGGGGGGTGTAAACGAACATTTTTGAAACTAGGTCCCAGAGTGGAAAGATTTCAAAACTCCGTATATGCCGCTCCGTGGTTACTGCCTCTCCGCAATGTATCTGAGACGCTTGCGTCATCGCCCCGCCTCTTGTTAAGCACGCATGCGCCGCACTCAGAAAATAATAACAACAATGTAGCTTGTTGGTTTTGTAATCCAGTGTGACCCGAAGCAACAGTTCAACCTCATCGTCCGCCCATACTAATGTAGTACCAGCTCGCCTACTCGCCATGTTGTCTGTTTACAAAATTCCGCGCATGCCCAGTTCCCGTCACGGAAGTTTGGGCTTGATCCCGTCATTGCGTCACAGCGCCACCAACAGGTCTGGCATAGTTTCACAGCGTTTTCAGGCGTATTGACTACATTCATATGGACGCACACATTTACTGAGCTAACTCCGTGTTTACAGAAAAAGTTTCTGAAATTATAAGCGTTTTGTCTTCGTGTGGATATAGCCTAAGCTTTTGTCAGAACAACGACGGAGGTTATGGCTTGCGAAGATAAACAGGCAAGAAACTCCCTCAAAACACGCAAGAATATGCTCGGAGCACTTTGTGTCAGGTGCGTATCGTATCTTATAATGTGTTGACAGACGTAATTTACTCAGTACTAACTTGTGTATGCTGATATCTGGTAACTTGAGAGTTTCATTATTTAGATTACTTTATTATGAGGAGGATCGGTGTCGCGTCTGAGGCTCTCGAGGGCAACGTAAATGTATTAAATAGATAATAATAGTTCTATGGTGGGCTAAAACAATGTTCACAAACAGCATTGCTTCTGTAAAAAGATCTGTGTCATAAAATAAACTGCTCTTTACGCCTGGAAAAATCAGTTGCCCACCATTCACCAAAACATACGGTCAAAAACGCGGAAATAAACAATAACAGCAATCCAGAGTGTCCGTGTGGCATTAGCATTAATTAAATTAATTGTTAATATAATTAAAATAATTAAATGGAGCTCCAACTGGTATTAAATCTAAAGTTTTTGAGAAATGTTTGCATTGCTTGTTAATTTTTGCTGCATAATTTGATCAAATATGTAAAACATGTCCGTAGCACGTTAAACTGTGGTGCCATTGTATTAATATACAATTATTTGCTCAAAAGTTGCCCTTTTTTTCCAATTTGCGTTTGAATATCTACATTTATTCTCATTCTTCTGTTTAATGGAATGCACAAACACAGCAGCGTGCCATCAAAGATGGCGTCTCCGAGGAGGTCATGTGACATTCATTGGTCTGTGGGAACTATGTATACCCTAGTGAAGGAATATTGAATTAATCTGGGTTCAGATATTCACAGGGATGACTATTGTAAATGTTAGCAGTATACAAAGTTATTCCTTGGCTTTATTTAAAGCAGTTTAATGCAGTTTTTTAATAAATTTTTTTGAATGTCTTATTATATGATATGACATATGGACATAATGATAATAAAATATGCCCATGACCTAAAGGGGTAAATACTTTATCTATGCATGGTTTAAGTTATTAAACAAAAGCAAGCAATAGCATGTCTTAAATGACGTTTCATAAATCCCTTAAAATATTATACAAATAATAATTATGTTTTTATTTTTTATTTTTTTTACAGCTCCTGTAGCCATCAGGTGTTACTCCCATGGAAAGGTTGAGAGCGATGAAGAGTTTGATGCACGCTGGGTAACGTACTTCAGTAAACCAGACATTGATGCTTGGGAGCTAAAGAAAGGTGATTGTCGTCTACTTTGAAACTTGCATTCTTACCATTCTGAGCTGTCATTTTAATATAGTGTACTTTTTTATTTTAAGGAATGAACACACTGATTGGATATGACCTGGTGCCTGAGGCCAAGATCCTTGACTCTGCGCTGAGAGCTTGTCGACGACTCAATGACATGGCCAGTGCTATTCGAATTTTAGAGGCCATTAAGGTAAAGCCAACGTTTAAATGAGAATCTTAAACAGCAGCAGTTTGAAAGGTGGAGTTGACAAAATTGGTGACCCCTTGAAAATGTAACCATTATAGTTCCTCTAAGACAGATCATTTTCTCTCTCATATTGTTTAAAAGAGATAATAATAATAACAAAATTAAATAAATACATGGCCCTAGCATTGGCACATCTTTCAAAAGCTATAGTTGAAAGAATACTCCCAATTGTGTACTAGTGAACTGATTCAGATGAGGACAACCTCAAACTCATCCCAGTTTTATGTTTGATGCTAGTGAGCGAGAGCAATCCAGACCAGTTTCAAATGAAATGATTGAAAACCTTATACAACAACTACAGTAGAAAGAATTATAAAATAAAAATATACATAAATAAAGGTGTATATAATTCACACATAACATTAAAGGCGCTATACCCGTTGATGCAAGGTTTGAATGTTTAGCACCGCCCCTCAACTCGCTCAATGGCTTCTCATTTCCACTACGCTCTCACAACACAGAGCCATCTAGCTCAATTTGCGTCTGATATGTATGCTAACATTAGCATTAGCATCACTGATGAAATGGTACTAAAGCAACGCACTGCTAACCCAATATATAGATAAAAGAATACCGCTAGTTTAGCATCCGAATGTATTAATTTAAACATACAAATATTTAATTATAATTTATTATGCAGCTCCTCACAGCAGCAGTAGAACCCTCCATTGACTTGAATGTAATTCTACCGATATTTTTTTCTTGATAACAGAACTCTCAAACCAATAATGACCACTGCCCTTTGGCAACGCAATCTCTGTTTGTAATTCAGGTGTGTAAAATACTAACATTACTCCGCAAGTACAACAAGCTTTCAGCGCCTGTCACTACACTGTGCAGTTTATCTGCACACAGTTGTATGTGCAGAGAAGCTAGCGGAGCTAGACACACTCAATAAACAAATACATATCAATCAACACCATTAAATGTTAATCGGACAATACAGTATTCATAAACATCCTTAACACACATGCACAGACGTTTTCAGAATTTGTTGTTAAGGTTTTCATGACAAAATTACTATTTTAATGTGACAAAAAGCGATCGCAAAAAACCCGGAGGTAACCATTAACATGAAACAAACATTTTAGGACACATTTGAAGAGGATCTGATTCTGGATGTAGGTTCGGTATATAAATGGGTCACTTACCGCTGATGTTCAGAATTCTTTGTTCAGTTACCTGCCTAGCACGTCCCGGTGAAATCTTTGGGAGCTAACTATTTTATTTGCAGTCATTAAATACATTTCGAAGGGCTGTCTAATATTTGTTTGAATATATATATATTTTTTTAATTTTAGAATTATATTCGAAGTCGAAGCCCTAGTGTCAAGCAGCGCTGTAGAGACTAGAGGACCGTGGCTGTTCGCTGCTCATTCTGTGAGTGGAGGAGAACGAACGGCCCGCTAAGACTCTACTCAGCACGGCCTGAACTCATACACCGCTGAATCAATGAGCTCAAGTTTTCAATTAAATTATGGATTATAATACAACTTGTATGTAGTAATAAGCATTTTTGTGAACTACTTAGAAAAATATTGGGTATAGCTTCTTTAATCTCCTTTGTTTATTTCTACACAACATACCACAAACTCTTGGAGCAGAATGTGCAACACTTCTTTCCCACGTTTCTGTTATCGCATCCACACTCTCTGACCAGAACAAGGCTTTAAAGCTGGGCATACGCTGCTTGCCAATGCTTTTATAATATGTTTTTGATGTGTACATTCGGACTAAACACATCACAATAGAAGTTCGGACCGCACAATATATAAAAAAAATGTCGTCATTGCAATATTGGTACGTGCAATATCCATATCAAAAAGATGAGTGATAATTTTTTTTCTTTTTTTTCCTTTATTAAAGACAACAAAACAGACAGACACGTAAACATTCAACAAGAACAACAAACAAACAAAATACTATATGAATATGTTAATTTGAAAGTCATTGCTGTACTTATTTTTTGTTATTTGTCTCTTGCGTTTCAATGCCGATTGCAATTTTAGGTGAAAGACAAAAATATCGCATTAATATCGTTATCAAAATACTAAACACTAATACAAACACTCGAATACCGCTCTAATTTCCAATAAGATAAGAATTCCTTTATTCGTCCCACAGTGGGGAAATTTCGATGTTGCAGCGCACATACAGGACAGCAGTAAGAGCACACGGGGAGCACACACAATATATACAAATAAGTAGTAGCTATGTTTCTTAGCTAACATAACTAGCTGTAGATGCTGAAAATGCTTCACTACCAGTCAAAATATATATATGTAGTAGTAGTGCAGTTATATACTGTTAAATAGTGCAGGATAATAAGTAGATAAGGAAAAGTGACATTGTTCTGTGACATTCTGAAGTTGCACATTGCACATGATTTAAGAATTTACTTATTTACAGATGAATGAAATTTACAGGTACTTATTGTACAGTCTGACAGCAGCAGGAAGGAAAGACCTACGGAACCTCTCCTTCACACAGCGAGGGTGCAGCAATATCGTGCAGCCCTAATAGCAGCGCTCACACACCTCTGTCTCGCTCCACCTACTCCGCTCACACAGGAGCCGCTGCTTCTCCTCACACACAAAAGTCTCTGTCAGTTTGGACACAGCCAGTGTGAGCAGCTGAACGCGAGCGTCCATCTCTCCATACGCTGCGCTTATTCACGTCTCTTTCCTCGTCTCTGACTCACTTTGATATAGACACTGCTAAAATTGTTTTGACAGCTCTGTATAGTTTTCCCCGAAAAACCTCGTGCTTGCCTGTTTACAAATCGCTTTTGGTGAAAATTTGACATTATATATACTGTTATATATTATGCTTGTAATAATCACGGCGGTCCGCCATTTGGGGGCCCCTGGTATGCAATATATAATTGTTTTCATTATTTTCTAGGACAAAGCAGGACCCCACAAAGATATATATCCATACTTGATCCAGGAATTGAAACCTACCCTTTCAGAACTTGGCATTTCAACACCAGAGGAACTTGGAATGGATAAGCTTTAAACAGTCATGGTGAGGTTCATGTTATACAAACTTGCATCTTTTTATCAGAAACCATTATTGCATATGCAAGAATGTTGAGGTTTACAACTTATTTTTTTCCCCAGGAAGAAAATAAAGACATTTTATGAATAGATAAAATGTTGGCCTTCTGTGCTGTCTATGTGATATCAATACTTATCTTGTACAAATGGTGGACCTAATAAAGTTACCAGTATTTAAAAAAATCTGAGTTTTTTGTATGTTCAGAAAACGAGATGCCCTGATTTGTATGTATGTCTTTCATAAGTAAGTCGTCTTTGTTATTGTTTACTTTATTTGGGCAGTTTAAACAGTACATACAGAGTCAAATCATAACTGCAGTTGTATATACAATCAAAACTTCTTAAACATACTGTATAGTGCTCAAAAGGAGCAAGCATAAATAAAATGATGCCAAGGCAATTACAAAAAAAATAAACCTGATTGCATTTACAAACATGAACCATATTGGTCCATAGATTACAAAGCAACGAATCCATCATTAACAGCAAGAATTTACAAGATTCAAACAAGTTTTATTCTTTGTGCATGTGCCTCCACATAGACTGTGTGAAGTCAATAGATACAGCAAGTGCTGTAGATCGTTTTTTGATATCTGTGGCAAAGGAGATAGGTCCATAATTTGCATAGAGTTTAACTTTTGATGGGAATTCGGCAGTTGCAAATGTGTACTATTTCATTTATGACTTGTTTAAGTTCATATCTAGTCTGTCGCAATCTTGAGTTTTTTGTTTGTTTTTATTCTAACATTTTCCCACAACCCGCAAAATCTCTCCCTTATCAACTGGGATGAGGAAAAAGGAGCTGGGATTACACAGGTGACCACTTGTTCATGGACATTGGTAGTTGGGGCTATTGTTTTGGCTAGTTCAGGCCCTATTTCAACAAAAAATGAATTAAAACCATCAACCGCATCCTGTCTATTAACTATAGTCTTATTATCGTGAGTAAAGTAATCTGTAGAACATTTCATTTTAGGCTTGTTTCCCATTAATTTGTTTAATACCTTACAGAAACCTTTTAGCATTTCTCAGATCAGAATGAAAGTTCTCACTACTATTAGTACAACCTCCACAACATTGAGTCATTTGTGCTCATCATTGTTTCTCATTCCTTTGAACAAATGTCTTTTTTTTTCTTATCAGTTACTTTCATACAATTCTCTGCTGTTTTAAAACTATCATTTGCTTCTGTAGTGTCAGTCAAAATGAAACCTACATGAATGAATAGTCATTCCAAATAGAAATGTCCTCATTTCATTGCTTTTGTCTTTACATACAATGAAAAAAGAAATTTTACATACATTTTAGATAAACATCTTTTGTATGAGCTGGACACAGCAGCAAGTCCTAAGTAGCTCTGAAAGTTGTTTTGTGCTTTACAATTGTTATTTTTCTTGCTTTTTTCTACCTGAGATGCCGCTGCAGTACAGTGTTTATAGTTTTGCACTGGTCCGGAGAGAGCGGAGAGGATTCATGGTCTAAAAACAAGCGGATCTGGAGATAATCGATCATTTACTTTGGACCAGAGCAAATAAAACGGTTCGAACCAAGCGGCTCCACCTCTGCTGTTGCATTTTATTATTACTATTGTTAGCTTTTTAGAATGATCTATGTATCTGTTTTGTTTGTGTGGATGGATGTGTTTGTGCTGCTACTGGACACCTGAATTTCTCCTACGAGGATCAATAAAGTATATCTATCTACAAAAGTGTTGAACTTGTCAAAAGGGGAAGACATCTGCTGTGATGTAAATGAATATATGTGGATGTCCAGGAACAATGTATTATATTGTTTACATTTGTGCACAGCTCTACATAATGCTATTTCTTATAATAATGCATCAGTTTTATATAGCGCTTGTAAGGGACCGATGGTGCAGCAGGAAACGCACACATTGTTTGACAAGACTTTTTGATTAGCCAAAAAATGGGTTAAACAATACAAATTAATGAGGCCAAAATCAAAGAGCAACTGAACATGACAAAACACTGACCTAACACAAGACACACAAGGGGAACCTTTATAGTGCTTTTGAGATTTTTTAGATTTTGTTGTTGAGAAAAAAAAAAAAAAAAAAACTAAAAACCACATGTACATAAGTATTCACAGCCTTTGCTTAATACTTTGTTGATGCACCTTTGGCAGCAATTACAGCCTCAAGTCTTTTTAAATATGATGCCGCAAGCTTGGCACACCTGTCTTTGGACAGTTTTACCCATTCCTCTTTGCAGCACCTCTCCCAGCTAATTTACACAGGAGGCGTTACGTACGTGTTATACGCGCAGCAGACGCGTGTATACATAGTTCCCACAGACCAATGAATGTCACATGACCTCCTCGGAGACGCCATCTTCGATGGCACGCTGCTGTGTTTGTGCATTCCATTAAACAGAAGAATGAGAATAAATGTAGATATTCAAACGCAAATTGGAAAAAAAAAAGGGCAACTTTTGAGCAAATAATTGTATATTAATACAATGGCACCACAGTTTAACGTGCTACGGACATGTTTTACATATTTGATCAAATTATGCAGCAAAAATTAACAAGCAATGCAAACATTTCTCAAAAACTTTAGATTTAATACCAGTTGGAGCTCCATTTAATTATTTTAATTATATTAACAATTAATTTAATTAATGCTAATGCCACACGGACACTCTGGATTGCTGTTATTGTTTATTTCCGCGTTTTTGACCGTATGTTTTGGTGAATGGTGGGCAACTGATTTTTCCAGGCGTAAAGAGCAGTTTATTTAATGACACAGATCTTTTTACAGAAGCAATGCTGTTTGTGAACATTGTTTTAGCCCACCATAGAACTATTATTATCTATTTAATACATTTACGTTGCCCTCGAGAGCCTCGGACGCGACACCGATCCTCCTCATAATAAAGTAATCTAACGCTAAATAATGAAACTCTCAAGTTACCAGATATCAGCATACACAAGTTAGTACTGAGTAAATTACGTCTGTCAACACATTATGAGATACGATACGCACCTGACACAAAGTGCTCCGAGCATATTCTTGCGTGTTTTGAGGGAGTTTCTTGCCTGTTTATCTTCGCAAGCCATAACCTCCGTGGTTGTTCTGACAAAAGCTTAGTCTTCTCACATTCATGAAGTCTAATGATGGGTATACTGTAAAATCCAATTTTAACGGAACCTCCGGCACGATTTGAACATCCATTGACCCAGCAGGAGACGACCATTTTCAACTTTATCACGACATTAACACGTTTCAGCTTCTTTTTCTATTGTTTTGCCCACAGAATGCCAAGACAAATGGCGCCGGGTCGGCAAATCCCCGTATGTAGTGACGTCATGTGGGAACTATGTATTGAGAGTGAGGAGTTGTCGTCATAGCACAGAGCCCCTCCCCGTCTCCGCCATGTTGGTAGGATCCCAGCGGCAAACAGTTGTTGTTAACTCGGTAGCAAAGGAGGTCATCGCTATTTCTGTTTTACCATGCCTGGAGCTCATTGCTGTGTGAAAAACTGCTCCAGTACCTCACACAATAAGAAAGGAAAACGTAGGAACAACGGTTTACAATTTTTTAGGCTACCAAAATGGATACAACATCAGGGAGCGCAAGTGTCTGACCTGACGAAGAGACGCCAGATGGCTTGGTTGGCTGCAATAAGAAGAAAGGACCTTACTTTTGATCTCACCCCCAGTCGATGAGAGTGTGTTCTCTGCATTTTCACTCGGGTACGTCCTAAAATGTCTTCATGTTGTTTTTTTAAAGTTAAGAAGTGTAGGTTACCTAGCTGTTAATGTTGCAAACACTGAAGTGCATCTTAAGTTAGCTGCCTAGCTAACCATCTAACAAACTGTTGCCTCTATGAAAATGCTTAATGGCCAACCATTAATGCTAACTAAGACTATTTAAGTTTCTGCTCATTATCCTACCTTGTAATTACAGCACACAAAAACGCATGTTATGAAAACTTACCTTTGCAAGTACAACGGTGTTTTCACCGCCTGGAGGCTTGTAGATGGCCAAGTCCTGCACCCAACCACAGCAGAAAGCCTCGTAACTCTCCAGTGACTTGTGACTTCTAAACTCCTGCATTGTGTAATAACTAACACCGAAAACAAGGTAATTGACTATATCCATGTACGTGCACGGAGGCAAAAAGTCTAGGTCTTTTTGCCACTCCGCTGCAGGAAGCTCGTATGGGTCTACCTGTTGTATGTCTGAGAGCTTCTCCAAATAACGTTGTTTTGCCGTGGGTAGAAGCTTTTCCCTGTACGGTCCATTTCCTTTCGCCTTCACTTTCTCCATTAACTGTCTTGCTAGTGTTGTAATCGTAGATGTATCTACTGCCGAACTAATAAACGTGCTCAATTTAAAGACCTCTGGAGCGTTAGCGTTAGTGGCGTTGCCCCTGGCAACCGATGGAGGATCCTATCAACATGGCCGACCGGATTAGACCCCGCCCAAATTATCACGTGATCCCTCATTCTCAATCATTTTTCCATGTTAACCAATGGGGATGTTTACACTACATATACAGTCTATGTGCTATACGCGCATATGACAGACGTATGACGCGAGGCTGCGCCCAATTTGGGATGGATTTCTAATTTTGTGTGCGCAGCAACGCGTCTCCCATTGAAAACACATGATTTTTCTAGCGGCCCTTGGCTTTAGATCACATCTACACACACAGCACTTGTATCTAAACATTAGCAGGAGCAGCAGGTTTTACAGTGATTCTGGACATCGTTTTTTTTTTTCTTTCATAAAGTTTTGCGTCTTGCCAAACCAGCGCACAGAGACCATGAAGACAAACACATGCATGTGATTTGTGTTGCTCTATATCAGTCCTCTGGCCCGTACTGTCCTCTACACTTCTCTATAGACTACACAGGGAGAGCATCAGAGGCCGCAGACCTGCGAGCCAGGCCAATGGACATACAGCCAAGTAATGTTACGCGCATATGTATGGT